TTGATAACTTTTTTTTATTTAAAATCATCTATCCAACGAAAATTACGTTTAAATTCTTATATTTAAAATTCAAAGTTTTCAAATGATTTTTTCACACGTTAAAAAGAACGGAAGGAGTATGAGGTAGTCCCAAGTCCCAACAGGATGAGTCTAATGCGATTGTGATGTCTCAAATTTGAACCTTAACGGTCTTTTTCCTTTTCCAAATCATCCCTTGATCCAATTATGCACTAGGGCGACACCTTTGTGCTTCGGACCTAGGCGGTGATGCACCGGGCGAGCAGGGAAGAGAGAGAAGTTGGGGAGAGAGACAGAAAGTGGAGGGGTAGGACCGACAAATGGATCCCACTATTAGATACAGGTCAACAATAAACCGTCATGTCACGTAGAATAGAGAGTAGGTGAATCTATAATAGGACTCGAAACGGGTCGAGAAGTTGTGATACCATGTCATAGAGTTTAAGAGCATCTCCAACAGTACCTCAAACTTTTTCCCCCAAATCTTGTAGTTTTGCAACTCCCCAAAAGGTATTGGGAGGGGGGAAAAGCCCATCTCCAAGAGTTTCCCATAATTGAGTTCCAATAAATCAAATTTGAGACCCACAACCTTTTTTATTTTTTGTCGTCATTTTTTTCCCGTGCCACAGAAACCTATGTCGCTCTTTCAGCAGGGGCGCCGCCTCTTTCGTGCGCCGTGGGCCTATCATCGCCGCCACCTCCTTCCTGCCGACCGCAGCAGGCAGTTCCCAAGCAGCAGCAACACCTCCCAGGCCGCCGCGCAGTCCTCCTGCCTTGCCGCGCCGTGCACCAGGCTAGCCGTAGGCACGTACCAGGACGCGACAGGCACCTCCCAGCAGGCTGCAGACACCTCTCAGCAAGCCCTCCACGCTAGACGCCATGAGTGCTTCCAAATCACTTCTGCAGAGGGAGTTGGAAGATTCATCATCAGGCGATGATGACATTTTGATCTTCTCAGCGGCTACAATTGTCGAGACATATTCAAACCAAAAAGGAAGACATGCTGGTTCCGTCCCAAGGCACAATGTTATTTATCGAGATCGAGAAGGCGGGCACCAAAGGATGTTTCAAGAGTACTCGGCTGATGAGCCGACATACGGCCCAAATTTATTTTGCTGGAGGTTCGTGTACATTCACTTGTGATACATACATAGTATGGTATGTAAATGTTGTCCGAGTAATTTTTTTTCGGGTACAGGATGAGTAGGGAGCTTTTCCTACGCATAATGAATGCTGTTGAATCACACGACGATTACTTTGTGCAAAAAAGGAGTGCGGCCAATGTACTTGATTAAGGTGCTTCCAGAAAGTCACTGCAGCATTTGGTATGCTAACATATGGGGTTCCTGATGCAACGGATTAGTATGTTTGCATTGGCGAAAGTACCGCAATTGAGAGCCTACGTAGGTTTGTTGCTGCAGCTGTTGATCTATTTGAAGATGAATACCTGAGATATCCTAATGAGACTGACACAGCACGCTTACTGGCACTTGGTGAGAAAAATGGTTTTCCTGGTATGTTAGGGTCCATTGATTACTTGCATTGGGCGTGGAAGAATTGTCGTGTAGAATTGCAGGGTCAGTACAAGGGGCATGTGGAGAAGCCCACTATTATTTTGGAGGCTGTTGCTTCCAACGATCTTTGGATATGGCATGCCTTTTTTAGAATGCCTGGGTCTCATAATGATATCAATGTGCTTCATCGGTCTCCTTTATTTGCAAACCTGGCAGAGGGGAGAGCTCCTGAGGTGAACTATACCATTAATGGCCATGATTATACGATGGGTTATTATCTAGCCGATGGTATATACCCATCATGGGCTACTTTAGTGAAGTCCATCTCTCAGCCTATGGGCAACAAGAACAAATATTTCACCAAAGCACAGGAAGCAACGAGGAAGGATGTCGAAAGAGCTTTTGGGGTTCTGCAATCTAGGTTCGCCATTGTTTGAGGAGCAGCTCGCATGTGGGACACAGAGACACTTGGAGACATCATGAAAGCTTGTGTGATAATGCACAATATGATTGTCGAGGATGAAGGAAATGTGGAACCTTCTCATGAGAATAATCGAACCCTTAATGAATTTATTGACGCGCACAAAAGGACCAGAGACAAGGAAACACATGTCCAGTTAAAAGAAGACATCATCGAGCACCTATGGAACCATCATCCTGATTTATATTAGCAATATACACACATTTTATTTTTTTTGTTAGGATCAGTTTATTTTTGTCCTCTATTTGTAATCAAAACTTTTTTACTTCAAGTGTAATGAACATTTTTACTTCAACTGTAATTTTAGCCGGCCATCTAATAGTAGCATTCAGTAGTTGCCGTTCATGCGCAGGCAATCTGCAGGCTTTCAGCAGTCATGTCAAGAGCACAGTGCCATGCACCACAGTATGTGCAGGCATCGGGCGTTGAGGACTAGGAACAGCAGCAGCACTACTTGCCGGTCATGGGCACAGTAGCATATACATTCAGGCAAGAACAAAGTTTCATTGAATATAAATAATACAAATTAAAAAGCAATTGACCATTTATGATGAAGCAAAGGTTCACTGAATCACAAAGTAATGCAAAGGTTCACTGAATCACTAAATCCAAAACAAATTGGCTATAAAAATAAAATGACATGAACTAATTCTAATTCGCAAGACGACGAGCAATGATCCGCTGGCGCATCGTCGTGTAGTACTGCTGCTGCTGCAGGTCGAGGTTGGTAATGTCGATTGACATTATTTTGTCTTCCTTTTCGATGAGGTCTGAATCCACCTTTTTTCATCTAATGACAGACACTTTTTCTCTAGCTCAAGTGAAGCCATGAACCTCTCCTCTTTCTTCTTCTCCTTCTCCATCTCAAAAGCCTCCTTTTTAGCCCACATCTTGTCCAAAGCCTCCATGCAAGCTTCACCACCTCCTCGCCTTAGAACTTCCTTTGCATTCTTCGAACCCATTGGCCTCTTTTGTGCTTCGGATTCTGGTGGTAGAATCTCAGTGACATCTTCATTGTTATTGACTTGTACATTCGTAGGCGTGGAATCAGCATTATTCTTCTGTTTCTTCTTATTTTTACTGGCTTGCTGCTCTGCCATTCTCTTCCTCACGGCCTTCCACTTGTCTTCACCCTTCAACTTGTTCCAACATAGCATTAGAGTGTCTTGTTCTCCCTGTCTAATCCCTTGAATATCTCGGCCGCGTCAGAAACCTGCACATGTTATTAATCATCAATGTGTATATCTCCACAAATAAATCAAATAGAAAAACAAAACAAATGAACAAATGAAACAAATAGCAAATTAAACCTTGTCTTGAATGGTTGCACCACTTTGATTCCTACGCTCAATCGCTTCGTAGCATGCACAAAACCTGTTCACTTGGTCCAAAATAGTCATCCACCTATGCATAATAGAACTCTCCGTTCTGAACGCTTTAGTTGTCTTGTGTTTCTCATAGAAAGCATGAATTCTACTCCAAAAGGAGCCACGAGGTTGATTAGCCCCGCGCACGGGATCCTTGCTCGTGTTCAACCAAGCTGCCACAACAACTAAATCATCTTTCGGATCAAAGTTTTTTGTCCTCTTCGAATAAGGCCTTGTACTGCGAGGGCGTGGAGCATCTCCACTTGGCTGCACCGGCACATCAACTGCTTAAACTTCAGTACACATCTCATCAATTTCCTGGGTGTCATGTGTCATGGAAAAAGTGTAGTCTTCCAAACCAGGAACATCATCCTCTTTAGTGACCATGTTTGTCTAATATCGACCATCGAACATTGGGTCCATCCTACAATAATTCAATGCTTAATCCATGTACATGAAAAATATTTGTACTGGATCAGAGATCAGGAAATGAAAAAATAGCAGTTTCATCAAAAGCACTGGCATTTGCCGGCCATCTGTAGCACAATCATGTCAACCAATCATTCAGCCATTCAGTAGCACAGGTATCAAAACCAGCCGGCCATCAGTACGAGGAAAAAATTTAGTACAGCACAGTGCCATGCAGCCTCCTCTCTCCCGTCAGCAGGTACAGTAGCATACATGCTGGCATAGTAGCATATACATTCAGGCAAGAATAGCAGTTTCATCAAAAAATAAATAGCAGTTCCATAAAAAAATAGCAGGCAGCTGCTAGCCATGGCAGGCTGAGGCAGCAGGCAGCCACGGCCAGGCGGACGCAGCCAGGGCGCCCGCGAACCCGGCTGTCCGCCGCTCTGATCGGATCGCGGGCACAGGCCAGAGGGAAAAGCCCCGGTCTGGAGCACTCGACTCTGATCGGATCGCTGGGTGCTGCTCTCCGCGAAGGCCAGGCCGTCTACGCCTCCGCCGGCCTCCGCGACAAGACCTAGGCGGCCAATCCCGGCGGCGGCCAATCACGGCGGCGGCAGGCCAATCACGGCGGCGGCAGCATGGATAACCCTACGAACGGCAAAACACCTGAATGGAGAAGTAGATCGATGGAGTTTACCTCTTGATCGGCGGAGGCGAAGATCCTCTTCCCTCGACGAACGTAGCAGTAGATCGATGGAGCCTGTGCTATGGCGCCAAGGAGACGGCGCGGGAAGCACAAGAAGGAGCGGGAACGAGGATATGCGCGCGACGGAGCAGCGTGTATTTTTACGCGCGGTCACGGTGATTTTGCGAAGTAAGGAAAGATGGGGAAGAGATATGGGGAACTCTTGGAGACTAGTTTTTTTCTTTTTTTCCCCCCAATTTCCAAGGACGGGGAAGGAATATGGGGCACTCTTGAAGATGCTCTAAGACGTGGTGTATTTTACTTCCCTACAGAAACATGGGAGAATCTATTGGTATAGGATCACCAAACCCATCTCAACCAAAAACAATGGATGTTGGGACTTGGGAAAGCTTAATATTGCTGATTTATTTTACTCGCTATAAAAATAGGAAAAAAAAAGTCTGTCGCGCCCGATCTATAGGTATAGCATCACGAAGACACGAACCCATCTCAACCCACGGCGGATGGCGGCGGCGGCGGCCTACCCTCCATGGGTAATCTTCGAGCACTACTGCACGCTTGAGGTCCAGGGCTGCTCCTCCTCCATCGCCGACACGAACACGCTGGCGCGCTGCCGCACCACCGCCGGTCATCTCATCAACGTCTCGCTCTGCCTCGCGGCGCCCCCCCAGGTGTCGCGCGTACGCGTCCAACTTCCTTCCTGCCGGCATCGTGACGCCCTATGCCGTAGTCCTCGCGTCACACGGCGACTCGGGGGTCCTCCCAGGTCGGTCCGATCGAGGACCGCCGGACCTTATTTGGGACCAAGTCAACTGACCACTTCGTCTACAGTGCGGGCGACGCGGCCGCTGAGCCCCCGCGCCCGCCGTCGCTGTCGCTGCTCCCGCCGCACTCCATCACTTATGAAGACGAGGAGAGGCGTCCCGTCGCTACCTGGACACTGATAGCACCGGCCTCCTGCGCCGTGGCGAGGGCGATTTCTTGGTGGCAGAGCTCAAGATGGAGTACGTGAAGGACAGGGACAACAAGGTGCACAAGGAGGCCGCGCTCCACCTGCTCCGGTCCGTCTCCTGCGAGTGGCTTGTCAAGCCGCCTGTGATCAGCGGCTACGCCGACGCCGGTGAATGTGTGGACGACATGGCGTCGTCGTGCCAAAACAACTTTGTTATCCCCGTCGGCGAACAGATGCTCTGCTGGGTCGACTTGGCGCGCGGCCTCCTCTTCTCCGACGTCGTGTTCGACGAGAGCCCCAGTCTGCGGCACGTGCCGCTCCCCAAGGATCCCGATTTCGGCCTGCGGAGGGTGTCTGTGTCACCGCCAACGGCAGCACCGATAGAGTTCGTCAACGTCTTTCCCCGTTGCTGCTGCGGTGGCGCCGGCAAATCCTAGTGCCGTGCTTCTCACCATGCCTACGCCATCCACACCTGGACGCTGAGGATGGACGTCGACATGGCCTGGGTGATGGACGGCAGTCTCGACGCCACCCAGGTCTGGGCCCTCGACGGCTACAATTGCCTCCCACGCGTCGAGCTGGACAACCCTGTCCCTGTCGTGAGCATGGACGAACCCGACGCCATCTGCTTCGAGGTGTGCGAGAAACACCATGAAAAACATGGCGACCGGACGATGTGGCGGATCATGGTCGATATGAAGAGCAAGACGCTACAATCGGTCTTTTGCGACCCCGAAGGACGGTGGTGCGGTAGTTGTGGGACCGTCTCTTGCCCAGCAGGGTCTCCAAGGCCAGCCACCAGGTCCAGCTGCACAAGCAGAAGCTATGCAAAACTTGATGAGCTCAAGGATTAAAAATAAGCTGCAAGCAATCGACGACACTACGCAGGCAGCTTCACCGGAGGCGGCGATCTTGGCCGTGCTTCAAGAGATACCTGGCTTGGATCGTGATGATATGATGAAAGCCTATCGCAGTCTTCCCCACGACGATAGTGGCCGCCGATTCAGATCCCTTATGGGGCTGCCAATGGATTTGAGGAAGGATTGGGTGCTGATGGAGGTCAAAGCCAGTGAAGCTTGTGTTTTGTGCTCTGCATGTTCAGCAGACATGCAAATAAAAGAATGAGCACAAGAGACAGCATCAATGAACTTTTTTACTTCCGTCTATGGCCTAATAAGTTTTGAGTTATACTCTTTGTTTTTGTTTCTTTTGTATAACAATAATTTGCTTAACTGATTCTCTTTGTCACAAGAGATGAACCTGGATTCATTTTCTTTATCTAAAAAGCGTTAGCTTATATTTATGTTAGTACTTGTATATGTACTATATACTAGCATTACTTTTTGGACTTGAAACATACTATGTGGAGATCAGTTTTAATATGGGTGATATAATGACTATATATGTAATATGTGTTTTGGTTGAGTTAATGATGAGGATACTATATATGATTATGTTCTATGTGCTCTATATTTGTTTATGTGATGCATAACAAAAAAGCACGCTGGACTTGCAGGCGGTAGGATGATGATGGAGGCACAGTCCAGGAGTAGGTCAAGAAGCAGCGGTGGTATGATCTAGGCGCCCGGATTTGGGGTAACTGACCGAGGTCATGTGGATCAGTAAAGAAGGTGGGGTAGGATGGAGCGGGCAAGGACGGAGGTGGAGAAGGTCTCTAGTCACAACGTACTTGTACCTACAGGTCCATCCCCATCCTGGGTAGAGTTTCTACGGTTCTTTATTTTGCTAGTTTGTCGAGAACTTAACCGTTCTTCGTCACATAAGTTCGATAGTTTCTCTTTACTGGTTTGTTCGTAAACCTTATCATACTTCACCATGTAAGCATGATTTTCTATCGTTCCTTGGGTGAAGACCCATGAGATTTTAGATCTGCCTAGGATAGATCGGCCATGCCGACCCCAAAGTTGGCTAGGCCGATTTCCTTGCCTCTTGCAGGTCTAGGTTGGCTAGATCTACTTGGCTCATACCCGATGCATTTTTTGTTGTGGAGCCTCTTGCAGGCCTAGGTCGGCTAAACCTACTTGGCTCCAGGGTAGCTGTGTTTGATTCTCTAGCGTGTGCAATATTATTGCCACCATCGAACGGTCCGGTGCGTATATTTTCATCGAATCTACACGCTCCAGCGTGGTATGGTGATTGTCCAATGCACGTGTATACATCGACGCTGGATGGTTCGATGCATACAATTTTGTCTCAGGTTCCCTGATTCGAGATCTGTGCATTCTAGCAGTTTAGGTGTGCGACACAGATATTCACGTGAACACACTTTTTGATGACTTTGCTGGGAACGATTGTTTCAACTTTATCTCATAGCTGAATTTCTTGATTGATCTATCTCTCTTGTGTTCGGCATTACCATTGCATCTTGCAAAAAAGGCCAATCCCATCCTATTGACCTGTTATGCTACGTTCTACTATCGTTACTGTGGAGATCAGCAGAAAGCAATTAGGTGACCAAATTCCCGTCATTGATCATGGCGTACCAATGTGCTACTATTACATCAAGCCCGAGGTCCAACTTGCAAGTAAGTTATATGAATTATAGTGTTGGTGTTGCTAGTCATAATGATAATAGGCATGTTGCATTGCATCAACTGATATATTTTCTGTTAGTGGTTGTCATCATGCAAATTATAATTCTGGTTATCATATGTAAGAGACAATGTCAACTACACATACTTTAAGTCTTAATGCATATTCTCATGCATCGGCAGTGGAACAAGTTCATATGTTGATGGACAATTATCATGGCAAAACTAACTTGATGAGTTTGGCCAATCCTCATGTGAGAAATTATGCTAATATGCAACGTTGATGCTTCACACTTTAATCATCGGCATAAAATTCACAATATGTGGTTTCATCATAAAACATGCCAGTGAACGAGAGAATTTGCTACGTTGATGCTAATTATCTAGCCAATTACTCTCAATCCTCATACTCTGTACATTATGCTATTAAAGTGGAGGTTGCAACTATAAATTCAACAACATATGCAAATATAAACAATCATGATTCGGCTAACTCGAACCGTATTGATGAAATTTCAGCAAACAAGCATACGCCTCGGTACACCAATGTAGCATGTAGTTTGCTATAGAATTCTAGCATATATATGTTGCATTTAATAACTACTTTGTGATTACTAACAAGATGTCGATCAACCCCTAAGCTATCGGCTATTAACAGGGTAAAAAGGTATTACTAGTTGATAGGATTGGCGGAAACAAAACTGATTTGGATACAAGAAAAAAAAATTAGCTACCAAAGCTGAACAACACAATAGTGTTTCTGTGAGAGAGAATAAGCCGAAATAAGCAAAAGCTGGCTGAAAAGTAGATGAGCAGAACATGGTGAATATTCCATCTGAACCAAATATACCTCAAAAGATATTCTAGCTATAGAAAACATAGGAAGCACAAGAAAATAACCAGTTACTATATTATTACACAAAAGAAAAAAAACAGAGTTTAACTCAAGACTTATTAGTCCACTAGCAAATATGCCCGTGCGTTGCAAAGGAACCCAAAACATATATATAGAAATAATATTGTATCATTGCTAACTCATGTAAAATACATAGGGCGCGACCCAATATGCATGTATTATTTCCATTAAAAACAAACGGTTGCGTACCAAAATTTTTCCTCATTGTTTCCGGCTTACCTTACTGTTTCACACCGAAAAAACCAGAAGTGTTGATGCTCGGTATGGAAACAAATACGAAATCAACATTTTACGTACGTACGTTTGCGTGTTGCCTGTCGTGACTGACTGGCTCACGGAACCTCTTGCGTGTGTGCATGCAGGCCAGCACCGTGGCCGACGACTTCACACTTCAGCCAGCTCTTCCGCCTGGCGCACAGGACGTTCTACCTCCCCGCATTGACACGCTCTCGCCACGGCCGAGGACGATGACATCGTGGAAGGCAGCAATAGTAACAGCATCTCCACCACCTGCATCAGCAACAAGAGTTCGAAGCTGGTGTCGACGTTCGTGGCGCTGGGCTAGACGTCGTTCGGCGTTCCCAGGGCCCTGGCCGTCGGCGAAGATACGTACCTGGTGTTCCTGGTGGACCTGCGTGTCTGGACCCGTCCGTGGGGGATGGCTACCCGGGCAACTGCATCAAGGGCTGCCTGGCGACGGCAGACATCCAGGACCTGCGCGGCGACCGCGGACTGTTCGCGGCGTCCCCGCGTTATACAGGCGGCCGTGGCGGAGATGGAGGCAGCGCCGGTAGCCGGCACAGAGCGGTGGACCGAGAAGATAATCGGGCTGCCGTTCACGCGCCTCGCCAACGTGGCGACCAGCCCGCGGTTCCGTGTGTATGAGGCGTCCGACTTCGGGTTCGGCCGCCCCGCGCGCGCCTGTGGAGCTAGTGTCCATGAACCACGACAGGGAGATGGTGCCCATCGGCGGGAGGGACGACGGCGATCGAGGTGCAGCCGTCCGTGTCACTGGACCCGCATGCATCGAGTTGGCGCACGTCTTCGCCTCGTCGGTGCCTAATTGATCTATTAGAACGTATAGAACGTAAAAGAAAAAAGAAATTAATCTAGCAATTTTTTGGGCTGCCGCATGCGACAATAGAACGTAGAAGAAAAAAGAAATCAATCTAGCAATTTTTTGGGCTCTGCCGCATGCGATAACGAGACAGGGATTGCCGTTTTGTTCTCATATATTTATTTGGATTTTGCTGGATCTGTGTTGTACCTCTGTTCTTTCTTTATGTGTTCGTTCCTGTCTCAAACTCATTGTCAAACCACCATTTGCACAGGTAGTTATGGAAGGCCAGACCAAAATAATGGAACAAAAAAGAGGAGGAAGTACAGATAAAAGGAGGTAAAAAAGTTCATCGTGTGTCTCTAGCGCTCATCTTTTTAGTTTCATTGCAAGTCTGCCGAGCATGCGGAGCACAAAACACAAGCTTCACTGGCCTTGATCTCCATCAGCACACAATCCTTCCTCAAATCCATTGGCAGCCCCATAAGAGATCTGAACCGGCGGCCACTATCGTCGTGGGTAAGAATGCGATAGGCTTTCAGCATATCATCACGATCCAAGCGAGGTATCTCTTCAAGCGCGGCCATGATCGCCGCCTCCGGTGAAGCTGCCTCCATAGTGCTGTCGATTGCTTGCAGCTTATTATTAACCCTTCTGTTCGTCAAGTTTAGCATAGCTTCTGGCATTTGTGCAGCTGGACCCGGCTGGCCGCTGCTTGGTTTAGAGTTGAAGTATGTGGAGACCATGCTGGGCAAGGGACGGTCCCAGCTATCGCACCACCGTCCTTCGGGGTAGCGAAAGACCGATCGTGATCCGCCACGTCGTCTCGTCGCCATGTTTTTCATGATGTTTCTCGCACACCACGAAGCAGATGGCATGGGGTTCGTCCATGCTCACGACGGGGTTGTCCAGCTCGACGCGTGGAAGGCCATTGTAGCCACCGAGAGCCCAGAGCTGGGTAGCGTCGTCGAGGCTGCTGTCCATTGCCCAGGTCATGTCGTCCATCCTCAGCGTCCAGGTGTGCACGGCGTAGGCATGGTGAGAAACACGGCAGTAGGATTTGGCCGCGCCACCGCAGCAGCAACGGGAAAAGACGTTGACGAACTTAATCATGCTGCCGCCGGCGGTGGCACACACGCTCCGCAGGCGCAGGCCTAAATCGGGATCCTCGGGGAGGGGTACGTACCGCAGGCTGGGGCTCTCGTCGAGCACGTCGTCGGAGAAGAGAAGACCGCGCTCCAAGTCGACCCAGCAGAGCAGCTAGTCGCCGACGGGGATAACGATGCTGTTTCGCCACGAGGACGCCAGGTCCACACACTCACAGGCCGCTTGACGTACCACTGGCCAGAACCGGACCGGAGCATGTGGAGCACGGCGTCCTTGCGCACCTTATCGTCCTGACTCATCGGATACCTCTCGTACTCCACCTGGAGCTCCGCCACCAAGAAATCGCCCTCGCCACGGCAAAGGATGCCGGTGCTAGCACTTTTTAGGTAGTTACACCCGGGACGACGGTTGTCTTCTTCATAGGTGATGGAGTGCGGCGCGATCAGCGACAGCGACGGCGGCCGCGGGGGGTCGGCGGCCGCGTCGCCCGCGC